ATAAGCCACAGAGAATATGATATATACCCAAGCTCTAATAGTTTTGGTTATTCTCTCTTCTATTCCCTTTTCATCAAAGCAAAACAGTATATAAGTAACTACTGGACTTCAGTCCTACCACCTGATATTCAAATGTTGAGTTTCAAGGCTCAGACTTAGGTATTTGTCTGTATACTCTCTTCCCTGCTCACTTCCAAAAGATGCCTTCAATTACCATCTACATGCAGATGACTCAAATTTCCACTTCCAGCCTAAAAGTTCCCCTCTGAGCCCCAGACCTGCAGACCAATAACCATTTGTAAGGCCATCGCCTATGCCATGGGAGACAATATTAGAGGGTGCTCAATGTGGCTGGTAAGTTTCTCTGGCATTCATTAGCCCTACATAACACCTGGTATGTGTAGGACCATAATGGAACTCTTCACGTTGTGGTTCCAGCTCTAAATCCCAGGGGGAAAGACCTGTACCTTCTTTATCTGCCTAGACTGTAGTCATGTTTACTAAGGGCAATTAACCCCAGGAACTTAGGGGGGACTTCTTGGTGATTCAAGTGAATTAACCAGGTTCTTTTAGTATTTCCACTTTCAAAGACCCTTTACATGGTGTCCTAACTTAATTCTTTCATGCCTTAGTTTAACAACTAGAAACTATGTGTCCAGCACTGTGGCTACAAATGTGAACCTATCCTTATGAAATGTGTAGTATAACTGAAGACAGGAATCAATCAAAGAATCAAAAAACCACATAAGTAAATCAATCCTACAATTTGAAGGGCTATATGATACATACTGAACACCAATGACGTGTGCCCTTTTCTGTATGTATGTTATGCTTCAATAAAAAGTGTGAAACAGCATTCAGTGGACCCAATAACTGTGGAAATCTGTGAACTGCAGAGAGCCTTAAAAATCAGTCAGTCCAGTTTCCTCATTTTATAGATGAGAACACTAGTCTTAGGAAGCGTACATGAAATGCACTCCTAGGAAGTAACTACAGGCATACCTCGGAGACACGGCAAGTTTGGTTCCAGACTACTGCAATAAACTGAGTGTCACAATAAAGCAAGTCAAAATCTTTTCACTGGTGTTTGGGGCAAGGAGGGGGCGGGGAGTGTCTTGCCTTCGATTTGTAAAAAACACAGTATTTGTGAAGCGCAATAAAGCGAGATATGCCTGTATCTGAACCAACTGAATAGTCCATTAGGCTATATTAATCACTCTGATTTGACCCTGCCTGAATTCTCTGCCCACCTGACTCACCCTGCTTTTATTCTACAATACTTTTCAGCATAATATTTGCTAATAATCCCCCACCTGGCTCCATTTATAAAAAGCTACCCAAGGCCCGGTTTCAAAGCCAATGAAGTTTTCCTCCGCTGGCTCTGTCCACGTACCCTTCTAGGCATCCCCTTGGCCTGCATCATCATTTACCCTGAACTGTGTACACATTCTGTCCCTTAGTGCTATTAAGCATGTGATCCTTGAGAGTAGAAAATGTCTCACCATATCTCCACTAATACAGTGCTTCAGGGATTGCTTCTTGCGCTAATAAATACCAGCGCCAGAGCAAACCAAAAGGAGTAATCATCTCATTTAAGGATCCCTAGCCTACTGCCTCTGAACGTTGGGAACTCCTGAAAAGCCAAACGTGACTGCTGGAGTCAGGAAATCTATCCTTTATTTTACAACCATTCATACAGCACTTAGAACCGAACAGGCATTGTTCTAAGTACCTCATAAATATTAACTCATTTAATTCCCACAACCACCTTATATCGTACAAACTACCAATTCACTTCGCAGATGATGAAAAAGCAGCATACAAAGAAGAACTAATTTATGTAAACGTCGCTGAGTAAGGATTTGAAGCCAGGGTCCAAAATCCATGCTCTTAACAACTAAGCTATGCTGCCTCAAAACCTGAGCACCTTTTAAATGACAGGAGACAATTCATGACAATAAAATCATGTATCCTGAAAATGCAAGATTACTTTTTGACTTTTTACTAAAAGTTGATTTAAAAGGCGCTAGAACTCCAAGTTATAATTGTCATAAATGCCAACCCCCCCCCCAAATAAATGTCAAGGTACCTATTTTAATTCATAAAATCGTATCGCATGACACATGAGCTTTTACACTGCAGCTCCTATTTTCATTTCCTGCTTCCTTTAGGAACACATTACTAAGCTTTCTGTCAGCCTCTCAAATGATACAGACTTCCTGTCTCGTTTTTCCAAATCTTCTATCTGGTTGTGAGGCTTGGGCCTAACACAAATGTCACATCTGAACAATTTAATCAGCTTCACCTTGGAGCCATACTTATGCTAAAGGTCAAGAATGAATGCCCTGTAATGTAGCCAATCCCTTGCCGGCAAATCACGCTTGCTGCAAGCTGAATGTGAGGGTAATGGGGTAATCACTAGCCCACAGGGTAGAGCTTTGAAACTCTCTAAAAGGACACACTGACATAATATCTAATAATATGACATCGCTTTGAGTGGTGGGTAGCAAAAGCAAAAGGCAGACCATCTGGAGTTGCTCCTTTTGAGTAATGATGTCACGCAGCTATCAGGCAAAGGCATAGTAAAAAGACTTTTTTCCCTATGGGTAAGGAGCAACCTGACTTGCTTTATTCACCACAGGCAGTGCAGAGCATGTAGAGGTACCAAGGGAGGAACACAAAATCATTTCTCAACATCAAACCCAGGTGATAACAAAATTTTACACCAAAAAGTATTTTTAAACTGAACACACTTTACCTATTAAAACAGAGTTTGGCAAACTATTGCCAAAGTGCCTAATCAAGCCACTAGGCTGTTTTTGTTCAGCCCTTGAGCTAAAAATGTTTTTGTGTTGTAAAAAAGAAAAAAGAAAAAAGAAAAAGAAGAGTGACTGTTTGTTGCCAGCAAAGCCTAAAATATTTATTGTATGACCCTTTACCAAAAGTTTGCAGAGCCCTATGACAAAATATGCATTCAAAGAAATAGTTGAGATTTAATTAATCCATCAGTGGTTCACATATTAACTTTTTTTTAATCACTCTAGTTCAACATCATTCTTCAGTCAAAGGATGAGTTGTATTAAAAGTCCAGCTACTGATGTCAACTTTCAGTCCTGCGGCTCTTACTGTCTGCTCACTTCAGCTAGAAACTGCAAAAACATTTGCTAGGGGATAAAAGCTGAAACTGGCTTTATTAGATTTCAGGACAACCTATCCATAGATTATTCTTATAAATCACCTATCTTGTTTCCCCCAAACCATGCAGCAAGCAGACTATGCTTTTTTATATTTTTAAGACACCTGCTACTTATCACTCACTCTCTGACAACTACCACACTTAAGACTACATGCGCAATTTCATTTAGGTGCTTCTCTCTCATAGAATTTTACCTTAATAAAGGTTGGCGGTTTTTTTCCCACTTTGTTCTCTACGAAATCCCAAATGCTGGCCCTTCGTAGGCGCTCAGTAACTTTTTAAAAACCTCTTATTAATGAGCACTATTATCACATGGGGAAACTGCAGCACAGAGAGGTTGAATGACTTGGGCCATTCAATAGTGTCAAAGCTGGAACCTGAAATCAGGCTGCCTGACTGTACAGTCCTGGTGAAGCGCTAGTCTGCTGCCCTAGTGTCTTCCATACAGAAATGTCCCACCTGAATGTCTAACTTCTCTTCAACTGACAATTTGGGTGTGACTAAAATTGCTCCTTGTATAGCAACAAGCAGAGGTCAGTTCTAAGCCTCTTCTTCTCAGAGAGGTAACCCCTGTGGGAGGGGAAAACACACACAACTCATGAGGTCTTCATATTCTCACTCTAGCAAAAGTGCCACTTTTCCAAGGAGTGGAACAATGTCATGCCTGTCATAGGTCTTAAAGTTTTTGTAAAACAAAATAAAATATAAGTGCAAAACTCTGTGACAATTAAGTGCTTTTCATGTTTAAAGAAAAAGCTGCTACGTTATTTATGTAGAATTAAGTTCTGCAAGTTGGGAATCACGGGCGGAAAAAAATCAAAACAGTTCAAAAAGGAAATACGGTCCGGACAGTTACAGAGAGAAAACCCGCCAGAGAGACGCTGATGCAGAAATCCTGGGCTGTGCACACACAGCATTTTGGAAGAAATGGAAAGTGAGGCAAGTCCTTCTGGGGTTTTATAAGCCTTCTTGGTTTCTATACCAGGAAGACCTACTGGAGAAGCAGAAGCAAGGAGTGCCAGTCATGAAAATGATGTCTTCAACTGGAATGAAAACCTTGGACTAAGAGGACTCACATGGTGTAACAGCAGGAAGGAAAATAAAAAGCAAAAAAAAAGATAGTAAGTAGCATCTCTAAGAGCTGGAACCCCAAACCAGTCCTTTGACTAAACCAAGGAAATGAGAAAGTGAATGAGAAACGGAATGTCAGTGTTCATCACACTGCCATCTTCAACCTACTTTGAGCAAAACTCTCTCCCTCCACACCCCCCAACCCGCCCGCCCCCCCCCAAAAAAAGAAAAAAAGCTGCTACGGAGAAAAGGTCAAAGAGGCCGGCACCGCAGTGAGAGCAGCTTCAAACTTAGTGCAAGATTCCGGAATTGGCTTGTCAGGAAGATCCCGTAAAAAGTGCAGATGCCTTAGCCCCACCCCAACCCCAGAGATTCAAACTCTGGAGGCGGGGCCAGGGAGCCGCAGTTCTAACTACAGCTTCAGCCAATTCTTTTGCCCGCTCAGGTTCGACAATTACCATCTTAGTTAGGTTTGCTGCCAAAAACACAAATTAAAAAATAACAAATAAAATAAAAAGGCTAGAAAGCCACCCAGAAAGGTGAATGGGAGCCCGGGCGTGAAACTCACACCAGATCCCTCGGCAGGCAGTAACTCCGCTCGTCGGCCCGACTGCGGGACGGGAACGGAAGTAGAAAACCGGAGGTTTGGAAAGATCTCCCACCCCCCAGGACCGGGGCGACCCCTGCCGTGCCGTTGCCCTCGCGGCAACCCCCCTCGAGGGTCCGTCTTTACCAACGCGAGCAGCGCAGCAGCTTCTCCAGCCGGTCGAGCGCGGGGCGGCTGTGGGCCCAGTCCCCGCCAGCCGCCGGCTCCATGGTGGGCGCGGGACGAGGCGTGTTCCCGGAGTGGACCCTCAGTTGCCGGTTCTCCGGCATCGCCCCGCCTTCGAAGGAAAGTCTCCCCGGAGAGCGGGAATCTGGGTGGACCCGGACAACGACCGAGACGCCGCAGGCCTGTGACCCGACCCCTGACACCAGCGATTCCCGCGTCTGAGCCGGGAGGACGCGCGGGGCCGGAGTGCGCGGGGTGGGCCGGGCGGGTGCGGCAGGGGCAAGGAAACCCGCCAAAATCGCGGCGCGCGAGACGGGAGGGGCGGGGCCGCGGCTGCACTCCCCAGGCTCGGTGGGCGGGGCCTCGGGGACGAGGGAGGGGGCGGGCCCAGGGGATGCCCTCTCTCTCCGGGAGGGATCAAGGCAAAAATAAGGAAATAAAATTGAGAAAATGAAAAAAGCACTTGCTTTCCTGCATTCCTGAAACAGTGTTGGCACCCTCAGCTGAACTTCACCGATGAAAAATTACAAACAAACGTTTAGCTGAGCATTAACTGTACGGAATGCTGGTTCAAGTACTGTTGAGCTTGGAAAAGCTTTGCTCATGACACTGAAAGTGCCACTCTCTTTACTCCTAAGAAAGTAACTTTTTTTTCTCTTCTCCCCCAGCTTCTTGTCTGTTAAAGAATTTGTCTACCCTCTTAAGGCTCTTTCACTGATCGCCATAATTTACAGATAACATCTTATGAGTTCCCCTTCACCCTTCGCATCCAATTCATTGCCAAGATCCTTGCAATTTCCCCCCTTAACTTACTCTTAAACCTACCACTTCTTTCAATCTTCACTCTACAACAGGCCCAACAGTATCATCCTCAGCTAGATTGTTCCCATAGCTTACCTGTGTCCACCTAAGTCCCCTCCAAGCTTCAGGCTACACAGCAACCATCTAAAACATTTGCAAATAAACTCAGTTCATAGAACCAGAATGAGTCAAACTAAATAAAATCTTACAGGGTATTTTGACTGACCTATGATAACACCTTAAATTAACCAAAAAAAACAAAAACAAAAACGAAAAAAAACCCTCAGATGTAGCCAAGAAGTTAATCCTTCATTATGAACCCTGTTAAGCCATTGTCTTTCAGAGCCTCAATGACAACTATCAAACTCTAGAAAATATAAAATGTTGCCTTGGCTGGTGTGGCTCAGTGGATTGAGCGCTGGCCTGCGAACCAAAGGGTCACAGATTCAGTTCCCAGCCAGGGCACATGCCTAGGTTGTGGGCCAGGCCCCCTAGTAAGGGGAGCATGAGAGGCAACTGCACATTGATGTTTCTCTCCCTGTCTATCTCTTTCCCTTCTCCTCTCTAAAAATAAATAAATAAATTATATATATATATATATATATATATATATATATATATATATATATATATATATATATATATAGCCTGTTAAATAAGCTTGGAGAAATGCCATGACGTATAATGGTGTAAATTGGAGATTTCAAGAGCCAGACAGTCCCACTTCTAATCCCATTTCCTCTACTAAATGTGATTTCCTAGTTGATGTTTGGCTTTAGTAGAGATGTATATGTGTTTTTGAACCAACTGGTCCTCTCAGCCCAGATCCTGAACTCGTAAAGCCATTCCTTTTTTCCATGTCCATATGTACAGTGCAGGTGAAAGATGGGCAACCTATACAGAATGAAGCACAGCAACAATGTATAAAATCCTGGAACTCTGGTCTGAGAAAAACTTCCCCAGGAAAATCCAGTCCAGCTATGGGTTTTCAGCAAAGCCTGGGCTTGGGGCATTATTAACAGTATCTTCTCTCCATTTTAAAAAGGGCTTAATAGTATCTTATTTGCCTTCCTTTCCCTCGAAGGACCTCTTGAGTACATCAAAGTTTAGCTTTGTTGCTCCATTTCACTCCTAGTCTATTCTCCTCTTGCAATTAAGCGGTATTCTCCAGTACCTTAGACTCTTTAAAAATTATTCATTCCACTCCAGTGTAAACACTCCAGTCCTGGGGGAATTCTGAAGGAGACAAATTGACTTGTTTTAGCCTGTTTACACATCCTTCTCTCTCCATGCCCTCTACTTCATTGCTTTGATTACAATACTCCAAAGGCACCTCTGGCCTGGATCTCTCCTGATCTTCAGGTGCAATGTAATGGTTTGCTGAAAACAGTCGAAATGTTAATTTTTCGTCTTCTGTTGTGAAGTGTTGTACAAAGTAGTGTATATATTCCTCATACTCACTTGGATAAACATATATAACAAGCAAAATGGGACACATGTAATACTCAGACTCTCTTCCCATGGAATGTGAAGCTCTCTCACAAATTCAACATGTACACTAATTCTTCTCTGACATTTAATTATGCTGTAATATAGTGGGATAGACCTCTTTGGCTCTTTTGAGTACATTTTCTTTGTTAGATATAAATTTTCTTTGCAAGAACCTCCTGCAAGAAACCTAGAGTTCCCCACCTGCCCCTCCCCCCCACAAAAAATCAACCTGAGAATAATTGACAAAAATCAATCAATGTAATTGATGGCATGGAACAAATCTCCACAGCATCTAGGAGTATGATATCTGCTCTCTGCATTTGACAGAGCTAGCCATTCTGTGTGAAAAGGCCATTAACCAGTTAGTTCTAAGCTCTGTGCTATTTTTTCTGGAATCCAGTGTGGCACAATGACTAAGTGCACAGAGTTCCAGAGTCAAGCACAACTGGGTTCCAAACCAAGCCTTGCTATTTCCTAAGATAGCATACATAGGCCCATTGTTCAGCCTACCTTGAAACTTAGTCTTGGCTTTTTTAAATGTATACAACATTATACTTGTAGGGTTGTTGTGAAAGTAATGACAAATTATGAAACTATTCTAAACCAAGTAGTTCATGCAGCTCAGCCTGTGGAAATCCCTTCACAATGGACTTTACTGAACTTTAATACCTATATTAAAGCTTAATTCACAATAAACATTCAATACATTTTTCTATCTTTAGTATTGGGTCTTAGCACCGAGTTACACTAAACCAGTTATATTTGCTTTAAAATTCTTTTATGAATAAGCACATTCTGTGAGCAAGGAAGACCCCTTATTCTGTGACTATTGGAGCAGAATACTTGCTGCAGCCATGCCTTTGCAGATATGATGCAATAACTCTGAAAGGAAGCTAGAATCCTGTTTAGTGATCATAATCTGTTTTAGTATCATCTCAAATAAAGTGTTCACTGGATTCCTAACACCATCTTTGGCATGATTTTAGGACATGATAATGAAAGTCTTTATAGTTTTTGTTCAGTTAACTTAGAGAGTCTTTATTTCCATTTTGTTCTACATTTAAAAGGAAAAAAAAAACCTCAGCAATTAGAAACAGTGATTTTGTCCTGTCTACTATAGACAGCTTCTATGAAGCAAGGAAAACAGTAGAACCAAAACTAATAGAACCCAGCACTGAGGGATGCCCTAGAGGCTAACGTGAATCCCTCCTTGACAGGTATCCTTGGCCATATACATAGTGATAAAGTTGTTGGCTGCAATGGACTGTATTGAAATGTCTTAACAGGCTGCAGCCGCTTTAAACTGCACATATAGAGTTAGTCTCAAAGTCACGTAGACCTTGGCAATTACTGAAAAGCTACCAAAGTTCTAGAAGGAAGCATCTAGATGTTTTGAGAAGGTTTTTGAAAGGATGTTAACTCTATCTTTGTGGGTACCTGCCAAGTTCCTGTCACCAAACCAAAAGTAACCAGTCTATGGATAATAGTTACATTAGTATGTCCTTACAGCAGTGGCTTTCAAGATTTTGGTATCTTCTGTATTTCCTGATCATTCATCACGTTCAGTCTGACACAGATATTTCACTGGTCATTGTTTTTGTCCAACAGACTTCAGAGTTCAGCCCATTCCACTGCCTTTTATGCTATTTTTAAGAAGACACCTCTGTAGAAACCCCCTTTTTCTGTACAGTGTAATTACTGAAGCACATAAAGTGGTTATAGCAGGAATTTATCACTTTCAGGTGGAAATACTCCGAGCCAAATAAAAGATAGAGTAGGAATGCCAGAAGCAATTTATAACAGGCTCACTGACATTTTATGTTGAGAAGCTCTACCACTGAATAAGCATCAAGTCATAAATCTCTGTAAACGTGATTAAAGCAAGCAAGTTATTCTTTGAGGGGACACTGTAATAAAAGAATGCTGTGATGCAAAGCAGGAAAATTCTGTTGACAAAAATCACCAAAAACAGCTGTCAGTAAAATTTACAAACAGCTTGCTTAAAATTCTGTTGAATTCCAGCAGCTGTTTGTTTGCACATAAAATGTTCATTTAGGAAATGAGCATTGGCCCTAGTTTGAGTTCCATTGTGCTTCAAAATTCTGTAATCATTTTAATCAAAATTTGTGCCATAATTTAAATTTTTTCCAAAGGGCAAGTGAGAGGTAACCAGTCTACACTCATGCACAGCATAGGGGCATCTCATTCAAGGGTGGACCGTATATTTAAGGTGGTCCCATAAGATTATAATGGAGCTGAAACACTCCCATTGTCTAATACATTGTGGCTACTGTAAAGTCATAGTGTGACACATTACTAGCTTGTTGGTGGTGACGGCGGTGTAAAACCCACGTTGCCAATCATATAAAAGTATGGCACATACAATAATGTGCCATACAATACATGCTACTTGGTAATGATAATAAATTATGTTACTGGTTTATGTATTTACTATATTATAATTTTTATTATTATTTTTATCATTATTTTAGAGCGTACTCTTTCTACAGATGAAAAAAAAATGTGCCATAGCCCTGGCTGGGAAGCTCAGTTGGTTAGAGCATTGTCCCAATACACCAAGGTTGCAGGTTTGATCCCTGGTCAGGGCACCTACAGGAAGCACCAATGAATGCAAAAATACCTGGAACAACAAAAAAAGATGTTTCTTTCTCTCTCTAAAGTAAAAAAATACCTTTTTTTAAAAAAAAGACTGTGCTGTGAAGCAATATTCTGTGTTAGGCTGGCAACAGCCTCATATATCTCATGTTTACTGCATCTCTTAATTGTATCATTTTATTTTGTGTTTGATTCAATTTCATGTTGTTTTATAAATTTAGTGTAGCCTAAATGTGCAGTGTTTAGAAAGGCTACAATAGTGTACAGTAATGACGTAGGCCTTCACA